CCCCAACTCCCCCCACTACCTCCTATCCCATCCGAACGCTCTCCTACCTGGGCTCTTCTTTAAATGCTACGCCACTCTGCATTGAAACGTGTTGCTCTTCCCTCTAGATCTGCTGAATCTTTCCCAGATTTTAGGCTCTTTTGGGTGGATTTTTTCCTTGGGGTTTGGTGTTGTGTGATGTGTGCTAGGATCCCGGCATGCTCTATACTCTATAAAGAGTGGAGTGGTGGCTCCGCTGGGCTGGGGCGGCGCACGCTACCTGAGTCAGCACACACGCCAGCCCCCAGAGCTTTCCAAAGGCCTATTCAAACCCCTCAACCAGGGTCATGCAGGACAAGAGCACACCTCTACTGACAAACACACTATCACACTACATATTAGGCCTGTTGCAGACCACGCACACTCAAAAGTTCCAAATAAAATCTTAACATAATCTTAACATAACTTATTTTTTTAATTGCAGAGAAACTAGTATAATTCTAAATATACAGTTGGATTCATACTGAAGAGATATGAAGATATATATATTCTGGACATCTCAAAACACCCTACATGTGATGCAAGAGTTACAGCTTGTTGGCCTTGTCATTTACAAAGAGGACTGTGGCGCCACCTAGTGTATGACATGGCTTTTAACATCTGAAACTGTACTTGCAACTACTACTGTAAATTATAAATAATTAACTAAACAACTACTAAATAATTCACTGAATTACTGTCACAAAAGAGAAAAAATAAACAGTTTTTCCCCTCACCTGAATAACAGGTTAGGTTCATAGTTAGGATAGATTAAATAAATTAGAAATAGTCTCACCTGCCAAAAAGCAGAAATCTCCCTTTGCGGTCAGGTTTTGCATCTACTGTGTCTCCTTCTCCATAGTTTTCTTGGTCCTCCATCGTCTCTTCCCTCTCAGTGGTGAGGGTTTCTTTATCCATTCTGGAGCAAGAATTAACGCTGTTACTGTTCAGTAAGGCCAACAAAGCTGAGTAACCATACTGGAAATTCTTGACAGGGTGAAATAAAATCTGCTTTCTAAGTTATAATTATCTTGACATGTTACCCCATCCTCTCCTTACTGACATTGACTATTGTCATGTAGTTTCTGCCAAAACACAAGCTGTGGTTACTTAGTGTCTCTTACTGGCATCAAAATAAGGAATTCAAATGAAAGAAAAGTTCTTAAACTGTTTGTAGGAAAACTCATATTAGTAGGCTACACTGTAATTTTACAGTAGTGAAAATAACTGTGTAGGTGGATTAGTGTAATGTGGGACACTGACTAATGTGGGACACCTAAGCTTCAATGGGTTTATCTCTTCTTTTACAACATTAAAGTGAACATGATTGGTGTTGAATTCAAGCAGGGGTGTCAAGTTATTGAAATCCCTCGACTTTCTGGAAATTATGTCAGAAATGTAGCCATGAAAATCATCAAACAGGAAGCACCTCTTGTAAAGTTCACTCAAAAGTCAGTGGCATAGGATTTAGACAAAAGTAATGTTAAGGGTATAAATCTGTTATAAATAAAACAATGTTCTAAATTGTTATCAAATTATATTTGTGATGTATTTGTACAACACATTTTGCAATAATATTGTTAAAATGTGTTAAGAATATTTTCTATTTGATGCAATTTTTGTCGTCCCACTTTAGAAAAGGATGTTTCAAAAGTTGGACAGCACATTTTGACTAATGTGGGACAATCAAATATTCTATGCTATTCAATTGATAAAATGTGCATTAAGAAAGTTAAATGCCATACATGTAATTTTGTAAATTTCTGGCCTTATAATGCAGCAATATTATTTGTTTTAAGATTCAGATTAAAAATTTTGAGACTAGAAGACGATAAGATCTTGGACCATGATTTCTCATTTCTGTTATGGAGTGTTTTACCATTACAATTTGCTTAACACATGCTTTTGAAAATACATGTTCCATATTCTTACCATGTGCAGAGTATAGAAGTTTAATAACAGTTTTAAAGGCATTCCATGTTCCAAAGTTTGAATCTTTTATGAAATTATTTTGCTATCTTTATTAAGTCCAATTTTATATTTTTGACTTCATAACACTCTTAAAAATAAAGGTGCTTCACGATGCCATAGAAGAACCTTTTTGTCAAAATGGTTCCATAAAGAACCTTTAACATCTGAAGAACCTTTCTGTTTCACAAAAGGTTCTTTGTGGTGAAAGAAGGTTCTTCAGATTACAAAAACGCAAGAAGGATGGTTCTTTAAAGAACCTTTGACTGAATGGTTCTTTGTGGAACCCAAAATGGTTCTTCTATGGCATCGCTTGAAGAACCTTTTGAAGCACCTTTATTTTTAAGAGTGTACATGGTTATTATTATTGTTTCTGCTAGAAATCTGACATTTTTTAAATAAATTCCTTTAAATAGTATAAGATTTCTGTGTTATATAGTATATCATATGTGGAATGTATTTAACATTCCACATATGAACATAGGTACTAGGTTTTTAGACAAACAAACACACCGTAGGCCAACTAAACTAATTCAGCAAACATGATTCTTACCATGTGCAGAGTATAGAAGTTTAATAACAGTTTTAAAGGCATTCCATGTTCCAAAGTTTGAATCTTTTATGAAATTATTTTGCTATCTTTATTAAGTCCAATTTTATATTTTTGACTTCATAACACTCTTAAAAATAAAGGTGCTTCACGATGCCATAGAAGAACCTTTTTGTCAAAATGGTTCCATAAAGAACCTTTAACATCTGAAGAACCTTTCTGTTTCACAAAAGGTTCTTTGTGGTGAAAGAAGGTTCTTCAGATTACAAAAACGCAATAATGATGGTTTTTTAAATAACCTTTGACTGAATGGTTCTTTGTGGAACCCAAAATGGTTCTTCTATGGCATCGCTTGAAGAACCTTTTGAAGCACCTTTATTTTTAAGAGTGTACATGGTTATTATTATTGTTTCTGCTAGAAATCTGACATTTTTTAAATAAATTCCTTTAAATAGTATAAGATTTCTGTGTTATATAGTATATCATATGTGGAATGTATTTAACATTCCACATATGAACATAGGTACTAGGTTTTTAGACAAACAAACACACCGTAGGCCAACTAAACTAATTCAGCAAACATGGGTATGCACATTTAACCAGGAGTGTTAAATGTGAAGTTTGCTTTGTAAAAATTAAACTATTTCTAACACAAAATATAGTGTCCCAGATTTGAGCATGCACTGTCCCACATTAGAAAATCCACAAATTCTTAAACGATTTGGCACAAGGAGCCCTAAAATGTGTGCCATTTCCCCTTAAAGTACAATATCTGGAAGAAAAAAAAAAGTCTTCTGATTTAGTTAGGAAACATCTTGGGGTTTAAGATTTTGAAATGGTTTAAGATTTTGATTTATTGTTTTGGCTTCATATGGAAATATGATACACAATTCAAAATTGCAAAAAGTGTCCCACATTACACTAATCCACCCTACCTGTGTTTCCGAGGCAAATTTCTTTAAAGAGTCACCCTTTCCACTTTCACATTAAAACAGCAGACTGTTATTACTCATACCTGCGTAAATTACCTCCGTGAACGAACTTCTACTTTCACTTTGTGATGTTGTCTCAGTTGGGTGTTTATTTAATTACTTTGTTTTCTTATGGCTTGGGGAGAAATAAAATCTCTGTATTTATGTAGAAAAGCTGTTAGAACTGATTAAGAAAAGCTACAGTTTACGACATGAAGTGTACAGCAGGAAGAAAGAGAGATTGACCGCTTACCCCAGTTGCCCAAAGACAACTTGTCAATGGTAACATTAAATACACAATTACATTAGCAATTATTGATGCTAGTATATTTTAAGTTATTTACATATAGCATGCAGTGTGTTCTACAGTTGAAGTGTTTTTGGAGGAAGTGTAAAGGTCCCCCTTAAACTTTTTTCCGAGGGCAACTTCCCTTCCCTTAAAATTAACCATGGTTTTACTACAAATAAAACCAAAAACATGGTTTCAATAGTTAAACCCTGGTAACCACAAATTAACCATGGTTTTGCTACACTAACCGTAGTAACCATGTTATTTGTAGTAAAACTGAAATTTGAAGCCAAAAAACGTGGTTATTACACCTTTACAATAATAAAACCATGGTTAATTTCCGTAAGATACTACATGTTTCACAACATTACTATATATTTACTCTCGAAACTTACATTTCTGTCGGATCAGCCTCTGTTTTGTTAATTGTTCTTTCAAGTCCAAGGTTAGACGGAGAAAACGAAACCACTTTCCAACTCCTTATTTTCCAATTCCTCCAGCCGGAGTGTCTCATGTATTTAAAGAAACAGAGTGAATTTAGATGTGTTGAAAACTACCGGTACTGGGCGAACTTCCTGTTTATTAATCGAACACTAGAACAGAATAGAATAGAATAGAATAGAATCGAATAGAATAGAATATTGATGAATGAAACGTGATATTAGTCAGAAATAAACACCATTTATTTATCCATCCATCTGTATTTAAATGTAAGCTGTTTGATTTCGCATAATAATAATAATAATAATAATAATAATAATAAAGACAACGAAGAAGAAGAATGTGTGTTAGGCCTATAAAAAATTTAATAATGTACTTTTTGGTAAATATTATTATTATTATGTACATTTGTGTTTATGTACATTGTTGATTAATACAACGTTTTCATATGTTATCATTTTTACTGTTATATTGTGTTACAATTATATAATGTTTGTTACTGGTTTATGTTAAATTATTCTTATTTTCCATAAAAGCAGAGGGCAAATATTTATTAACATCTTGACATTATTAGCCTTATAGGACTATTATAGGATATAGAATATTCATATATATTGTGACGAGCGTCCCGAAGCTGCATCAGCGTCGCCCTGGAAACAAGCGAGGAACACCTGGCCGTCCTCATCACAGGCTGATCGGTCACAGCTGCAGCTCATCAGGCGGCGGCAACATAAGCCACGCAAGCCCTGCCATCTGGGAGACTACTCCATGAGACTGAGCACTAACTCGCCCTCTCATTTCTCCCACAGACAGCAGCGTGTGACCGACCAGCCCCACAGGAGCACTACACGGACCCTCTGCACTGGGAAGACGGAAGAGAGGACTCACGGCACCGGAGCACCGACCTGGACCTTTCTCCCTAGCACCCACCTCACCAATAAATCCACCCTCCGGGGTATTTCTTAAGATTTCTTTGTGTGTGATTCTTCACCCCGTTACAATATTCAGGACAACTTGACTGTTTTTATTTTATTTTATTTCACAAATACAGCAAATTCTTATGAAACATGAATAAAATGCTGTCAATTGCATTTTAAAACAAACATCATTAACCAGACTAAAATCAACATATTACTTCCATTAAATTGAAAAGCCAATTAAGACCTTTTTATTCCAATGTGATGGAAAAATAATAACCATGTGCCCATTTGAACAGCCTCTTCTTCCTCTGACCTTTGACCTTGAACTTTTTGTATTTTCAGAATGCTATTTTTTTTAAATGAATAACACCAATTATGAGATAAAAGAACAAACATCATTATTATATTATTGTTATTGTAATACTTATTTAAATTATTTACTTTGTTTTGCTTTGCAGTAATGCATAACATAGGAAAAACAAAAAATGAAATGTAAAACTATAATTGTGCAGAAATGTGTCAAATGATGTAGTCAAACATTTAATATTATTTCATAAAATTATAGAAGGATGGCTTTTATACAGGGTTTCTGTTACATTTAAAATATTTTGAATGACTGAATGTCAGTGGACAAGATTGTCACCATATTTTGAGAATGACTTAATCTACATTGTGTAGTATATAACAGCATGAACGATAAAATCTTAATTGAAAAAATTATGGAAAGTCATGACAGCACAT